TTAGTATGTTATATAAGATATTGTTCAAATATAATCTATGCTGTTCATTTCGAAAGTGTAAATAACCAACCATAACAACAATTATTAGGTGAATAATTTTTCTTTGGAGCAGTTCATTATTTAAACTTTTGCTAAACAGATACTCGTAAAACTAGATTAAACAAAAGCATCACATAAAATTTTACTATTTACAACATTAAAAGTTTATTAACAAAAATGTAATTCAAAAAAAAGTATCATAACTATAACATTTTAAATATTTATCTACGTAGGAGAATACAAATTAAATATAAATTTATGTAACCAGACAGTTATTATAATACATACTTTTTTTTCCATGTCAGCTGCTTAGATTATCGATCTATCTCATCCGTTACTTGTCCATACATCATTCTCTCTCAAGGGTATAAACTAACATCTATTTATTTATTGAAGCGAATAAACACGTGACTATCATAATCTCATCACGACAATCAATATCAAGAGGCATAATCACATGATTAACCTGTACAGAGCTTAAATAAATTAACACGAAAAATTCGGTTCCGTCTTAAACGATGATAACAGTCACCCTAATCTTGTTGAAATGTTATTAATTGTAATATCTCAATAATGAAGACCGATTTCCCTTTGAATATTTTGACGATTATATTCAACAAGTTGATTGATTATTCTTGTTTGAATTTAAAGTGACTATTTGGATTTGATTTGTTTGATTTAATTGTTCTGTAAACTTCACACAAACTCAACAAGTCCATTTACAGGGAAAAAAATTAGTTATATATAATTTTTCTCAATTACAAATTTGACTCAAGCAAGAACAATTAACGTAGTGGAATATCATAAATTCATTTTATTGAGTTACTTCTCATCAGCTGAATACTTTAGTGGCCCGTTATTTTGACGCCAATTAGACAGGACAGTGATATTGTCGACGTGCTCACTACTTTAGTGGCCCGAAATCTAACTCCAGGTCGATCATATAAATGAATGTCATTGAAATATACATGTTGACAATCCTCGTACATACTCATCAACTTAAATCGCGTTAGTGAATAACGAAACTAAATAAGTCAACTAGGAGAATGAATTTCGAATACGTATATTTCAATAACGATAGTCACACGATCTAATTGGAGTCAGATACTAGGCCGCTAAACACAACCTAAACATTATAGCATTAATGACTAATAATCATTATATTTCATTTGTATACTAATATCAGAAATATTCTCATTGATAAGGATTAATAAAACGGTAATAAAAACGTGATATGATGGAAACGAAACTCAATTTTCCATTGATTTACTCATTATGAGTTTTGTTCAAAATTACTTCCGTTTCGATTCAATGTAATGATTACTCAATGTAGTATTTGTTTTCTTCTCTCGTATGGTATTTTACTCTGTATAATGTGCGATATTCTTGTATTCCATTGACATGGACTATGCTCAGTCTGTGACTTGTTATAACTTGAAGTATTTTTCATATATGTGATTTCATCCTAATTCTTAATCAAAATGGGTGTACAATCAATATATAAATTTGTATATTTTCTACTAGAATCGTCGTCATCGTGTTTTGGGGTTAGTAAATCATCACTTATACCAGTCTTTGTGTTCTTACTTTCGTGTCGTGGGAATTGCGGAGGTCCCTTGTTCCGAGTATAAATGATAAGCGTTTCCGACACAACAATCAGCGACGACCAGATATAACAAGTAACATACAAACGACAAGACATATCAGTGGCGACGGGATAAAAAAGTAGCTTTAAAAGAGCCAAAACAATCATCATCCAAATGACAGGTTATAACAGCATAGAAGAATTAAAAAATGCATTCAAATGGTAGGATAATTTTATGAAAATTCTTAAAGAAAAAATCCATATTCAAGTTTGCCCAACAATAACAACAAAAATTAAATTTTGATTACTCACTTTTAGTTTCTGTGATGGAATTTTGTTGATCCTAGATTTTCATCTGGTTATATTTATCAGGGATGTGAATACAAACAATTCAAACTATTATAATACTAATTATGATTATCTGTATACAATATATCTTACAGCTTATTCATTTTTCTTAAACTTTCTGCATCTGCATTCAGTTCTTGGTAAAAAAAGTATAACAAAAAAAAAAACATTACGTTTTTATTTCGCAACAGTTTCCAAGGAAAATTACCTCATGGTTTCTCATTTCATAGAGAATGAGACTGTTTTCTAAATAATCATTCAAAAGAATAGTTGAATTATTCATTACATACGAAGTGGTAAACAATAAAAATCTTGAAATATATAAGACAAATTTAACTTGAGGAGATCTAGCTTTTAAATCATTTGTTAGTATTTTCGTTAGTATTATTGCGAAATATCTATTCAATAATTTTGTAAAGAGAAAAATAAATGCTGTTGGTGTAGTGTTACAGCAACAAGTAAATAGTGGGATCAAGCCACTAGCTTTCTTTTTCAAAAAGTTTGAGCCTGCTCAAACGAGGCATAGGACCTTTGGAAAACAGCGAATAGCTGTTTGTCTAGTTGTTATATATTTCGACCATTTGTTGCAAGGCAGAGATTTCTTGATACTTACCGTCCCTGAGATATGCTTTTAACGCTAAAAACTGATTGATGTTCGTCTAGACGAAGACGACTACTCAGTTATATTCCTCAGTTCTCGACTGACATTCAATTTATGAAAGCGGAATTGGATGTTGTTGCAGACGCATTATTAAGCTGAAACGTGTGCGCTATAACATCTACAAAATAAATCTATCTGTTGGACATCGCTCGTTTGGGTGATAATGGCTCCGATCTCATCGCTTGTAACCAAGACCGAAGTTCACTATTAAAGGGTATTTTACCGAAATTCTGACTACACAATAATGTGTGACACATAAACTAGTACACACAAACCGTTTGTTCTCAACCTTATTTAATTTGGTCTCAGAAATATTTGTTTGGCCAAACTGAACTCAAATATAAGGCTATGAACACAAAATTGCCCATAGTGTCAGCGCAGCGAAGTTCATAGACATACAATTATAACAATGTTAAGATGCATTCTACCAGATCATCGTTTTTAACACGTTCATAGTGACTTAGTCGATCCATTGGGTTCATCTCATGGTTTATTTATATCTTTATTGCAGTGGGACGTTTGAATTGTATGTCCAGTTAAAGAAATCTTATCAGAAAATGTTACTGCTGTATTCTTAGATAAATGGATTTCTAATTCTGGTTCGCCTTCTACAATTTTACACCCAGCGGAGGCTAATCGTTTTAATCGCATCTTTTTAACAAATTTATACGTATTTTAGACATCCATCACATCACTACAACAGCACGCGATCCAGAAGTAAATGGACTAGTGGAACGATTATTGAGACAACTGGAAAGCACGCCGATGCTACAGTCTAATGTAACCAAATGGAGCGAATTCTTACCTCCGATATTATTGGTCACACGCTCTATAATCAAGAAAGATTTCCAATGCAAACCTGTGCAGCTCATTTATAAAACTAACCTAACTTTTCCCGATGAACTAATAATGTATGAAGGCAAATCTCTATGTACCAACCCCTCGTCATTTTGTGAAAGGTTGGTAAGCCATATGAACAATATTAGTCCTGTTGCACCTCAACCAGTTTTCACAAAATGGCAAGTTAACAAACATCTAGATAAATGTGAATTCGTATTTGTCCGTGTTGATTCCATAAGACGCCTTTTACAACAACTTCACAAGGTACCTTGTAGGGCTTTTCAGAGAGGAGCAAACGATTTCACCATTAAAAAGAAGGAAGAAAAGGAGGCAGTTTCAACTGACAGGAATAAACATACTTTGGTATAAACTAAAACTCACGATCAACGGAAGTCGCCTCAAGACACTAACAGTTGCACTACTTAGCTCCTCATCTTCACATCCAAATTTTCACCTATGTCTTTAAAATCAGACCCTCCGATAACCGATAATGCTGACATCACATCTCACATAAACTTAGTTTCTAATTCCACAACTTCACACATATCGAAAACCATCCGTAATGTAGTGGGAGTAAATAAAAATGTGCCTATATACGTTACTAGCAAACACGTACCCGTATAACTCTTGCTATTCGTCTCATGTCGTATACAAACTTCATTTAATTGACGAATGCATTCTCATAAACTTTGTTAAACATTTTCGATGAACCGCGTATTGTTATCAGGTCAGACACCATCTCTTATGCTAGGTACAAAAAGGCTTTTCAGGGAGTATTACAGTTTGTCTTCTGTCCTTTACAAACTGAAACTGAAACTAAAACCGTCCTGAGGTTTAATTTAAGTAGCCTCATCATTCATCAAACTTCAAATAACTGGCTAGATTCAGTGACACATGGTAGTCGACTGTACCGTTCAGAGTTCGTGTGGTAAGGAGTAAGAAGTGATTATTCAAGAATGATTAAATTTATGGACCGTTTTGTCATCCAGTGCGTCCTTACTTAAGAAGCAGAGAGAAAATCTATAACGTGCTGAAAAAAATGAGATTTTATGAAGGATGTGTTCCTAATACACTGCTGGTAGACACAGCATTTGTTTCCCCAACTTCATGTAGTAGCTTGGTTAGTTTATGCTCTTCGTCAAGTCCACCCATGCGGTAATTAGTTCACCAATTCTTCAATGAGTATTAGTTGTGTGACACGGGGATATATGTTTAGATAGTTCGATAAACTTTATAAACAATAATTTTACACGACTTAGACCCATGGTTTCTCTTATTTAGTCCGTTTAAGCTTAGAATAATTCAGTTACTTGGGTACGCATCTACTTCACGTGTCTCTATTCTATATCAATTGAAGTATCTGAATGTCCTTTTCATTCCTCAAATATGTACCTAAGATCAGGTTCAAGATGTTTTCCGGCATCAAAGGGCGTAAATAAACTATTTTAAACTCGGAAATTGCGAGTAACATCAGTGTTTTCAGCAAGCTGCATTTTGTTTAGTTTGTTAGAGTCATAACAACCAGCAGTGCATTTTTTGAAACAACAGATCTTTCCAAGGTTACTACTAGTCTTGACCATAAGACTGTCTTAATTCCAAACAGATTTTGCTTTCAGTTTTGATTGGTTGCTTTTGATGTTAAAATTAAGCTTATTTTACGTCTTCAACGAGTCATCCTCTAACTATATATAGTTGTAATAGTGTAAATATAGTCATATATTTTTGTTCAGTCTTCTCTATCACAATTCCTTCACACCGAAATCTTTGCAAACTCAAACAAAACAATACATTTTCAAGGTAGATGCATGGCAACCAGGTCAAATCACGTGTTGTTGACGATTTTTTCATTGAGTTTCAAAACTGTGGGACGAATTTGATTAATGTTCGGTGTATTTTGGAACAGATTTATTGAAAATTTTTCTGAATTTTTATAAGATTTCTTGAACGTTCTATGAGCTGTTTGCACAATCATTCTCAAAACTATTCTTTGTTTTTTTGGTTTCTAGATTCTCGTTTCCATACTTTTCACTGTAAATCCTGAGGACTATAGTATTCACCTGATAGAACCAAGTATATTACTACCTCAACGTCACATAGGAATCTAGTTGACATGACGGCAGGAAAGAAGAGCAAACGCGATGACATATCGGCTGTAGATTGTGTAAGACCAAATAAATCTCTTATTTTTAAACCAAGTTTGATGAGGTTGTACTTGGTATACATCAAGCTGAGTCAGCTGTACTTATGCTAAAAAGTCCTGAAGACGATGTCAAGACCCGAGCTTGTGAAGCATTATACAAGTTTTCGAATAAAAGTTGTTTACTTTTAGTTTTGTAATCTATATTTAGGTGACGAAAACAAAAAAGCCCTGATATCATTAAATGTTCTAGAATACCTCCAGCCTCTAGTAAGAGATGAAAATAGGGTAGTAAAAAGGAATGCGGTACTTGTTTATGGAGTTCTATCGTCACTTCCTTCTGCAAGGTCTATCATTAGGAAACTGCCAACTATTGTTACTGATCTTCTCAAGCTTTTGGACTCAGAAGGTATGTTGTTTGTATGCTGTGCTTTATCTTCCGAACTTTTTGTTTTAATGTAGAATTTGAGACAACGAAAGAATTTGCTGCAATGACATTGTCACATCTTTGTTTGGAATATGCTGGTATATACGAACTTATAGAGCATAAATGTTTCTCTGTTATCATACCTTGTTTGAAATCACCTGATCCAGATGTACAGAAGAATACATTGGATATAATACATATGTTACTCCAGGTATTATTTGAAATATTTCATTTGTTTCTGAAAGGACTTTGAAGCTCGCCCAATGCTGAAAGCTTCTGAAGGTCTGGAGACCCTGATTGAATTGTTGGTATCGGAGTATCCAGTTATTCAAGATTTAGTGTTGAAAATATTTGCTAGAGCAGCACAAGACAGTAAGTATCTGAAAGACCTTCATGATTGGCATGAAAAGTTATTATAAATACTTGAAAATACTCAAGTATTGCTTAAATTTGAGACTATTACTTCATAGTAAAAGTTCTGGTACTTCTAAACTGCTGAGAAACAACATTATTCCTCTGTTCAAACTGTTGACCAGATAACAGTGTTTCGGGCTAATAGTGTACCTACCCTAATGTGCGTCTATGTTAGTCGATGTTCGATAGCAACCGTTGTTCAAAGCATTATGATCACACTATTGAAGTTCTTTCCAGCTGTCATGCTTACATATCTGCAATTTACTGATATACATCTTAAAACTCCTAATTCTTATCCTCAAGCACATCAACTGTTAGCATTCTTACTGAAATTCCGTTTATACAAACTGTGATAATAATATTTAAGTTTTATTTCTTCTGTAAGATGGACCTAGATATCATACGTTTGCCCTAAATGCTTATGCTGAAATATTATTTTAGTTGCGTTTTTGTTATAAATCTCACTACCATAATACTTAATTTAGGTGTGAGCAAGACCACATCAGTTAGCATATTTATCAGCACGACATTGGCAGTAGCTATATTAAAACACACTGATGTGATACATTGTTCGACTCTTTGTCTGAGATTTTAGTACGTTGTGTTTCGACAGGCATTTAAGATGTCCAGTTAAGTCAACTGTCACAATATTAAAGTGTGAGGTTATTTATCATGATGTTTTTTCTGCTCTTCAGTATTATCACTTTCACAATAAACTCTAAAATGATTTTTATAACACTGTATTCTTTAGAACGGTAGTTAGGCAATACAATCAAGCCTAATAAGGACTAGACAAGCATGCCATCGATCACCACCCAGTGGTCAATCAATTGTAATCAAGCCTAAAGGACGAATATCAAGCACTTCAATTTTTCTTATGATACATGGTTATTTACCAAGTATTCAAAACCTATGATCAAATACTTGTAATTTACGCCTATTTTACCACTTTAGACAACTTAGGCTGATAAATGTTTACCAAAGACACAACTATAGCTTTGACTGACTAACAAGTGGTTCAGTGAGTGGTTGATACTGAGGCCAGACAATTATATTTTGTTAACAAAGTACTTTCTGTGGCAAAAACTGTATCATACATCATTAAAAATCTACCCAGTCTTTAAGTAGGCGAATAATATAGCTTTATCTGATGGGGTCAAAGAAGTACAGTATTTTAAACATCTTGCGTAGCGACCCAAGAATGATTGTTATCTATATAAAGCCTAGACACATTATCGTTAGAAATGTCTTATATAACTTTTATTCAAACCATTTTCGGTACTTTTGAGGTCATCATAATGTTTCCGTTAGCCCACAAGAACTTGCTTAAACCTTTATAATGTTTCAACCATGAGCTACTGACAAGTGCCCAGGTTTTTGTTCTGTTAGGAATAATATCTGAATTCTTCAATATTGTCTATGATCATGTTAGGCTTCTCAACTCTAGAGTCCTATTTTATTTTCCGTGATACAATAATGTCCACCTTGACGACGGCTCAATCCTTCTTCTACCTTTGTCTTTGGCATTTAGATTGGCCTTGATCTACTGAATAAGGTCCCGCTACATTACACTTTGTGGACTAACTTACTCTGATAAGTGGTATATTCTATAAATGTGTATGTATTAGCATTTTATTCATAACCTTTTTCTAAATAGTTAATTGCTTTTCAGTGTTCGTCATCATCTTGGTCAAAAATATTTGTTTTTAAAGGTATAATAAGGACAACCTTAAGAGATATGAATGCATTGGATGCATTTGTTGATATTATTGGTGTTCCGGAATTTAACGATATACATATTTCCGCCCTACAAGTAATTGCAAATTTACTAGACGATACTGAATGTGTAAAGGTATGTTTTGCCAGATAATTAGTTAATTTCTATTTGTGAGATTTTTGTAATTTGGTTAATCTCACAACAGTTCTTATAAGAAAAATGCATTTCGAAAACTCTAAGATATTCTTATTCTTAAAGTTAGGCGGAGTGCGATGACATTCTGTCTTAAACGACCCTGGAGTAACACATTTTCAAGGGTATTTGTAGGATAGTCTGTTTGTGAAAAAAGATAACTGTAAGCTAGTATGTTAGATGAATGCTACTTATGCGCGTTTACATATATATACGACAGTTTTTGATTGTTTAAGGTAGGGCAATTTTATCAAGGCAGAAAGTGAGCCTCAGTCGACCTCTACTAGCGTATTCAGGACAGTCCATTGCTGAAAGTCAATTGGTATATTTTAACCAGATGATTATTAAATATAGAACTTAATTTCTCGTTGAAAACGTGTAAAACGGTTATATCATTCCTCAAAAATAAAACACTTTCAGTCTTCCGTACTTTTCCAAGTAACCAGTTTATTTCTTTGCCTTCGAAATAAACTTTTTATTTAAATAGGGATCAGTTTGTACTTATCTCGAATTTTTTAAGCCAGGGATCGTAGTACCCTAATCGACTAATATCTGACACCCCAGTAACCCCATGGACTGTTTGAAAGACATCAGGTTTCTTACAGCTGATGGATAGTCTGAAATAGGAAAAATTTCAACAGCCATCAGATCAACTGATGCATCCAACTTAACCTCGCCTTATAATTGTCAAATTTTGCCCCTTGAGGTACTTTTTGCAAACAATTTGTGGAGGAAGCTTACACACACTTCAGTGATGATAATTTATTCAAACAGATTACTTCGAGAAGTTGTAAGAAGCTTACTGAAGTCCACCGTTTGCAAGAAGGACACTTCAAAAAGCTACCATAGACTTAAATCGTCATTTGTATTTGTTCCCTTTGCAAGAGGTTTTAGCAATGCAGTTGTTAGCTAGCAAGAATTTATCATTTGTTCATTTTTCACAGCATTTAGTTAGTCAAGGCAGTCTTCAAAAATTATTGCATTTTATCACTGATCGTCAAGTTTATAATGAAAGTGATATTAAAGTCAATTCTGTGAATCAACAGCAAAATAGAGACAAGAACGCTAAAGGAAGGAAACCTAGTCCTAAGAAAGGTGATAAGAAAAAAAGCAGCAAAGGAGAACCGGATGGTATGTTAAAAATCGATTTATAAAATTATTTAAAGCCAAAGAGAATAGAAAAGAGGAACTTTCGCTTTTACCCAGTCAATTCTTATCAATATTTTTTTGCAAAAGTGCCTTGCTCACGTAGAATTTAACAACAAAAGATAAATTAATTCGTAGCTTTAGAGCTTATACGGAATTTATATCAGACTTAGGTTTTTGGACTATCTTAGATATTTCGAGGATTGATAATCCATATCCTAGAACGTGAAGTTTATGTCAAGCCAAGGACCGGAGTGTTTATCACAATAACTGTAGCGTCCGAGTGAATATTGAAAATTTACCCCTTTATTTAGGAGTTTATATACTTAAAGAGTAGTCAAAAATAAGTTTATTTATTTTTCTATAAAACTAAGCAATCATAACCTGTGGATAGCAAATATTATGCAATAAAAGGTTTTTACTTTTACCCACAATTCTAAGGATGAATTACCATAATTATTTATATAATGCCTTGATTTAATATGGTTGGCAAACAATTATTCCTATTGAACAGTAATAATTTATTTTCTAAGCATAAACTCCTGGAACGAACGTATAAAAAGTATACCTCCATAGCATATATATGTATATATGCATATAGGTGGATAGATAGATAAATAAACAAATAAATAAATAGGTATATATTTAGGTTGAAATCAGATTTCATTAGTGGGAACATTCTTATCTAGTTGTGAATTTTTATTATTGCTAACAAGGCTGATAACCGTTCGTCAGTTTGATTTATAGATAATGTAGGAATTGTGATACATTACACTATATAAATATAAACTTGAATGCGTATCAGGATGAACTTCGCAAAGAAGTGAAGATAGTTAATTTAGCTTTCATTGCCATGGACTTCATAGCTGTACGCCGGATTAAGGAGAGCTAAAATGTTTTCTTCATATAGTTTGGGAGTCAATATACTATCTTAAATGTATGCTAAGAATTGTGCCCAGTTTAAATATTACTGAAGTGTTGCAAAATCACTGTAACTAATTAATCAGTCCTCTGTAGTTTTCAGAAGTCTAGTTTAATAAAATTTAAATACATATTATTATCTTTTAATTGTGGTAGCTAATAGGACATCATTATTTAGTGATCATATATAGTTTAATTGTTATAGGAATTGTTTATTTTGGTTCAGTGAAGTACATAAGTCAACATGAATGAAATTAGAACAATCGTATTGATCGTTTCTAAAACGTTATATATGACTAATATTGTACTATTTGATTAGGAAAAAAAGACGAGGAAAAACCACCGTCAAATACTTTGCCAGAAGCGAAAATTCACACATGTAATGCACTTATGAGAGCTGCATGTAAAGGTTAGTTAATATTAAAGGTCATTTGTGTTTATTATCGACAATGTAATATGCTTTCATTTTTATTAGTTCTGTTCTACAATTATAGGATGGCATTTAATTATACCTGTATGATTAGAAGTCCTCATATTTCGTATTTAAGACTTACTATAAAAGACTTTTTATATATTATTTATTTAAGCAGCCACTCAACTGGCAACTATTTCCAGTTGATCCTGAATTTATGTTAATATCCGTGAAATTTCTGTGACATACCTCACTGTATAGCCTAGAATTATCTTCAGTCCCAAATTAATCGATATATCGCTTGTACGATTCTATTTCATTAGCATGATATGTTCGCAGATACAGTGCTAACGATATCTAGATTAGTGGTTGCACTAAAATGTGACCAACAGGTCATTATCTGTGTTGGAGACTTGATGAGCACGACGTCTGTTACTATACAGCGATGAATCAGTGTAAAGTAGGCCTATTTTCCTTTACATTTAATTGACTAAACAAAACTGAAGGCAGTGTATTTACTTGATAAAAGGTCATTAAAATTAGGTTCGAATGCTCACAAGAAAGAGGATATCAGTTAAAAGAAAGTGAGTAAATTTATAACTATAAAATATGATTGAACTTTGAGTCATAACAGTCAGAATCTGGAGCTACCCATTTTCAACATCCTGAAAGACAACAGTTATTGATCTAACGCAGGTTCTGTTAAAATACTCTAATTTACCTTCAATCCTAGAACGGAGCTCACATTTAGACAAGTCAATATTGCGATTTTGGTGAGTATTTGCTTAGCATGTCTGACATAACTCTTTTTAACAGAGTTCGTAAATGAGAGTATGTCTACACAAACAAAATCAGAAAACACTACATCAGGGCACATACACTATTTTTAGTTATGATTATTTAGTTTTGGTGACGGTCTTCAAAACTTTTCACTGCAACCTCTCACGAACAGCTCAAGTATATAGACATGACAGTTTTTTCAGAGATTTTTCATCAATAAAAACTGTCAAATATTGATAGCTTATTCTGCTAAAGCATGCTACATGCATTTATTGGTCGTATGTTTCATTGTGTAGCATTTTACTACACTGATCGTAGGCTAGCTACTAAACTGCATGTCACACATTGAAGTCGTATCTGAATTGACTTGATTACTAATAGAAATGATCGTCTAGGGGGGGTGTAGTTATGCTCTTCAATTGTCAACTGTTTAATAAATTACATGCTTTTTTCCATACTATACAACCATGCGTACAAAAACCTCAAATGAGAAATGGTGTTAAGTATAATTTTCCAGGAGAAAACCAATTCAGTTTATGAAGTTAAAAACTTGTGTAAACCAAGTAAACAGAATAGTTGTAATGAACAAATACTTAGTTGGACTAACTAACTTAATGTTTAACACAAAATCACACAATGGGTTGGTAAAATGTGAAAATCATACATTGGATACACCATTTACACATCTTCTTTGAGTTCTCCTTTACACACTCCATTATTCCTCTAATTCTCTTGTCATTTCGATTGCTCTCAGATTTCCTTCCTGTTAAATTCATTACCATCATCTGCTGCCAGGCATTCCACTTGCGATTGGTGTTACATACTATTTATATATGTCTGCATAAGTAGCATACTCTACATAATTTGTTAGACATATATAAGTCGCTCTAACGTACAATCCTAAATGAATTAGATCAAGCTACACTGAGTAAATGCTCAACAACAGACCAGATAGCATAAATAAGAAAGTCAGTAAGATACAGACTGTCGGAACAGTTAATGTGAGCAACTAAATATTTCCTGAATGTTGTATAGACAACCCTACTGTTTAAGATAGCAGATCATAGAACTTACATTTACTCTCTTACACATAAATATGTGAAGTTTAGCCTAATTTACATTATCATGTGTCATTATCCATCCTTTCTATCTTAGTCTCTTATATTTTGATTCTTTCTAATAGCAATCTAAGTACACTCAGTACTTTTTTAGATATTACAATTTGTTATTTATTTTTGTCATTCTAAAAAAATTCATTACTTTTTCACTGCATTTGATTTTAAAACAATCTGTCTTTTCCATTTTATTTTAGAAGAAACAAGGAAAATTTTACACGATGCAGATGTTGAAAGGATGTTAGTATCACTATTATCTCATGAAGATGAAGGTGTACGAGCTGCATCAGCACAAGTTATTGCTATACTGTCAGAAAGTTCAGTATGTCAGGATAGAATAGCTGAATTAGGTGAATACATATTAGAATATGAATATTACATAATGAACAGGATTATCTTTTTTGAAATCATCAAAACATTTATTTACAGTAATAAAAACAATTTGTAAATATTTATTTGCATTTAAAATAGTCAGATTTCAATCAATAGGACAATGGTTTGTAAACTTAGAAACATTCATCGTATTAAGATAACATCAATCTAATGAGTACCTACATTACGTAATAGTATGTCATGTAGCAGTTGAAAGAGAATATTTAAAGGGATTATTATGAGCCAATTAGTTAATGGATGTAAATATATAGAGAAAATCAATGGGGAACTAAACAATGACTTCCATTAATAATATTTTCACATAATTTTGATATTATATATGTTTGTTGATTGCACGACTCGGTAAACCTTAACTTAAAAGTTCAAAGGAAATAACAGATCGCGAACTAATAGATTATAAAATAATAATTACTTAAAACTTTATTGTTTATATTTATTGTCAACCCTAAAGATAATTGTCATAAGTGTTAAAGTAGGTTTATTTTTGTTTTGTGAAATGTTGTCATGACCAGTGTCTACAGTAAACACATATTGATACAACTATAAAATTTACTAGTCTAACTGTTTGATAAAGAAGCGATTTACAGATTAAAAAAGGCAGGTTATTTAAGAAAGAGATGGAAAAGTTTAATGGACAAGTCACCACAAATTCGACTACACAGAAATTCATGCTTCAACATAATGTTTATTGGCGTTTAATATGTTTCATTTTTAAGTTCAATACACCTTATCATTTTTGGAAACTAGTAGTTTCAGTAACCCAACTACAAAAAGCTTCAACTTTTCATGTTTTTTTTCAGAAACAATCATATTCATTAGCACGGATATCTCATCCACTCTATATATCAATGTTTTTGGAACCGCATAATAAATTTATCATATGCTTACTCAAAGTGTAAATCTAAACTATATGGCATTAAGTATCACATATTTCTAAAACTAATTTTTCCGCAAATGCCGTTATCTACATAAAACAACGAAATTCAACATTTTAATAATATTTGGAATTTCGCTATTCTTAACCATGGTCGCTACTGAGGTATACAGACTGAATTTGATTGAAACTAAATTAAGCATTTCACTTAAAATACTACAGGAACGTGACCTACGTAATTCACTGTTTGTTTTAATCTACTGTATTTCCATTAGTATACGGCAATAAACCACAGTGTATGGTCATTCGATGGTTGGTTTTGAGCTTCTCTAAATCTTAAAAGTTGTATAAAATACAACACACTTTGTGACATATGCAGGATTTCCGTCTTCATTCAAAATATTTATTGAGAATTTCGTTCTTACATACCAGACATTTTCAAAGACAATTCGGTTTTGAGTTCTCTAGACAGTTATAGGGATCTTACAACGTGATAGTATTAAACCAGTTGGCTTGGAATCGGTTACGGTGATACAGATGTTTTCATTACTTTTTTCCCGAATTCTCAGTGTAACCCTATAGAAACAGGTTCTTTTCTTTATAGAAGATTTTCTAGACTGGAAGTTGAGAGGATTCATGAAACCTACCTATTCATTGTTGGGAAGTACTGCGACCATTTTGTAGATTTTCTTACTAATTTCCTGCGTAATCCAACTGTGTCAACTATTTACCAAAAACACAAAGAATAAATGGGAGGAGATTTTATTGAGTTAGGAAAAGTGTGATTAGAAATGATGTAGTGCTCAATTCTAAAAATTTTAAATGATAGTAATGTTTCAGAACATACTTATATTTTGATTAACTGGATTGATTCATCATTTAAGAAGAGTTAAATCACCACTACTCAAATAAAAATAGTGATGTCCACGAAATTTGTGAAGCAGCGAATTAATAATTAAGGCACTTGTCCTTTAACCGCTCAGTTACAATTTAGCACTTCCTTCTACTTCATTTACTTTGAGCAAACTGTTAATACTACTAATCTTTACATAAAAATTATGACTGAATGCAGAGTACATTGATCAGGACTTCATAAATGAACTGCATCATAATTTATAATGAATTTTCATCCATGATTTTCAGGAGCAAAACTATTAGGTACTGTTTGCGATATAGACTAATTCCCTATTAGTTTGGTTATGTAAAAAACAGAGAACCTGTAAAAGAAGTTGACGACGGATCACCAACAGGCGGTCCAAGTAACTTGGTAACCCAGTGAAATGGATATATTATTTTAGCCAATCCGTAGTATATTCAAAAATAACCGAATTCAAACACGAAAGAATCATATAATTGAACAGTGAATAAGATTAAATGGGTGTGTTAGGTTCCTTTATTAGTAAAAACTAGGTAATATAAATGATACAACCTTTTGCTACTTAACTTTTCCGTCTTTAACATACATAGGTGGACCGGAATTACTTATTCGTATGACGCGGAGCGATCATCGTGAACTCAAGTCAGCTGGAGCTACAGCATTATCTGCTTTGACTACTGGAAATGGATCAATTTGTCGGTAACTTGTTTAAATTGAACGCTTTTACACATTATTTTATATCTGATCATGTTCTGGCTTGAAATTAGTGTGCATGTTAGTTATACCTAGATACTAAGATCCCGTAGAGGCTTTACTTGTTTGATGCCTTATTTAACAGTTTCTTTCTCTAAATTATATTAGGTACAAAGTTATGAGTGCTTATAAAGTAGCTAAATTAAATCATAAAGCCAAAATAACGAGTAACCAAGTGTTGTTCTAAACTAGCCTCAAACTTTTCGGGTCGATATCCTCAATATGGATAGAATCTATGACAGAAGTCATGAGAATGTACTTTCAAACTAAATAATATGATTTAGATGGTTTTTCCATTTCCCCTTATTTTAAATACTTAAGCTTAATAGTTTGCTTATCCTTTCTGGTATTTATATGTCTGGTTATAATCTGTGTTTTTGTTCACTTTTTCTGAGTTGCAGATAAAATGTCCTCCAGCAACTCTTTTTGTATTTCCCAATTCAAAACCACACAATTTATGTATAAATATAATTCATTGTATTGATACTAGTTTCATTTTAATTTTCTTTTGTAGTGAGGTTGCAAGTCGAAATTCAGGGCTTGAGGCATTGCTTAGTTGTTTACATATGGGTGATCCTGAAGTTGACTTAATTACAGTGGGTGGATTAATTGCACTGACGAATTTGGCTACTGAAGAAACTACTCGACCGAAGGTTTTACATGTAATAACGGCCAAGTTATTGATACCAACTCTAAATTCAAAGTTAGTTTATTATTTGTTGTAAAAACAAAACATCTTAATCTTTAAAATAAATTTGTCATTATGTGAAATAATTTTTTCTTAGTGATATGATCAATCAGGCCAACATTATAATAGAAATGAGCTTGTATTGATGATACACAAATCATCAACAATTATAATGACTATCCCTAGAACCTTATATTTTATTTGATGGTGGAGCGTCAGTAGACAATAGTTGTCTTGTATATGTGAAAAATAGTACTTAGCAAACTATTACTATTTATGTGCATTTTAAGCAACCTAAAATTATCCGATTGTCTCACTAACGAAAAGAGCTATTCTGATTACTTAGAAAAGATCCTAAATGGTAATCAAATCAGTGTTTGCTAGTATCAGTGTTTATTCCTATAAGTTAAGTATTTGCAAGGAAATTATTAGGACATCTTTAGCCAGATAATGTGTATGGTTAGATTCTAGTGAATTCTGGAGGGTAACGTGCATCGGTCTTGTTCACAATTCAGTATGGTTTCCAGCAGTTTCTGTAACACTCAAATCAAATTCAAATAAGTATATGAACTTTGTTCACCCTCCTAATTCTCAACTAGTACATCGACCATATGACTGCTTTCTAATCCGTCTCAGTTTCAAGATTCGTAAAGTGATAGATATGAAGCTGTCTAAAATTCAATATCTTGAACATTAAATGCTGAGCAAAGATGAAATCCAGTGAATTCCACTCCTACCCACTATCCATCTTTGTTTAGAATGCTTGTGAATCAAGACGATACTGAGGCAATACGCACAGTATGCACATATGTCAATAAGAGACTGATCAATTACAGTCCAAAACATCAGTGGGAAAATTCAAGTGAACAATACCAAGTGAATCAAATGCTGAGGTTTAGAGAAATACATTTTTGATTATGTTGCTTCGACCAAAGCTTCTGACCCAGTTATTGAGTCACGCGTAAATACCTGAAATCAAAAAGTTTTTTTGAAATACGGTATTATTATTATTATTATTACGGAAATATATCCAAGATATTAAAAACCTCATTTCGTGACGTGTCTACGACTATTATCAAGTCGGTATATAACCAAAGGAATAGCTATTTAAAGACTATTTACAACAAAAATAGGATATGGCAGTGCCTGTGTCCAGAATATAAATAAGTTCCAACTTCAATAATAAATTAAATGAATGTTACAAGCACGGGTAGACACTTAAAACTACCATACAGAAACGGTAGGACGTAACCAAAATGATTGAAAATGTAGTTACTGAATATAATTAAGTAGTACTATCGACAGACAAAAGTTATTCGAATAAGTTAAATGTAGTGGTCAGAAGTGTCAAAAAAATGACAAGTCGTTTAACATAACAGAAACTATTTGAGCATGCTTCACCTGTGACTGAATTTTAAACAAAATATGTTTTTGGAAGGTTTGCCGCTAGGTTATTCCTGATAAATAATGTTCTATACAGAATGATTAGTACGTATATTTAGCTTTCATCACTTTCGAGGACGATGACAAACAATACTAACAAGCAATAAACTGTCCTTGTTGAAGTGATATGTCTAAAATACCACTGGAAAAGTTTGTGGCATCCTTGAGAATTGGTTAATATGACTAAATTCTATGGTTTTGATGAGTTCTGGAGAAAATTTCATGACACAATTACAAACGTTATATATTTTTTATAGAAATTTCATCATTTTGTTTCTAAATTAATTTAGTTCAGTATTAACTCAATCTAAAGCTGCATTAGCAGTGGCTTCGCTAATATCCGAACAACATAATATCCAACAATTTATTCAACTTGGAGGTTTATCGAGTTTACTCAATTTAGTTCAATCAACAAATAATGATGTGCGTCGTTCAGCATGTTGGGCTATCGCTTCATTGACAGCTGACCACACAGCTGCTTTAACGTTATCTCAGTTAAAGTAAGTATGGTCCTGTTACTTTATTTAGCAATTATTTAGCTAGCATGCTCCCTTCAACAATAAAATAATTATTACAGGCATTTAAAAATGGAGTTACTTAACTAATAAAGCAAAGTATTTCGAAAATCTTTATTTGGAGATGAGAGTTCCACAATCTAATGAAATCAATTTAAAATAATTTCCCTTACATATTAAGCCTTTCAAACTGTTCATTTTAGTCTACTGTACATAAATGACAGCTGAATTTTGAGCCACACTTTTGTTTGAGGTTTGGTGATTCATTCATCGTCGTTTCATTATATCCTTTGGAATACAGTGGTAGTGTCAATCTTATTACTCTAATTTTGTTCAGGATTATTAAAGAAACAAGATGTATGAAATTCTGTTGACCATTTTAACTTTACAATTCATTTTTTGTATTCAAGTATAACGAATTATGCTACAAGAAATAGTTTACACTATAACTTTTAAGTCATTGTTAATTTAGGTTCAAATACACAAATTAAATTGTTCATGCTTTACGAAATCAACATTACCGACTGTTATTCAAGTAGGATGTTGTACAAATACTGAATGATTAATAGGATTCACAACATAAATCATAATTCATATCAGAAGGGATAGGCCCTGGATGCTCACTGCTGAGGAGTCTCAAGATAGGACGAAACGGCCGATCAGTGCTTCCAGGTTTTCCATGGTGGTTTAGCTTCAATTGACTCATGATCTCAACAATTGAGATAAGTCATAATCACTTTAAATTTATAAATTTATTCTAACAAAGCAAACATTTCGGATTACTAATATTTCATTAAGTTCCTAATTGTAATTAATTCAATCATATATTTCATTAGTTAAACTGTTTCTTTATTCAAGATTATTGCAGTAAACTAATATTCCACAAATTTGCTCAATAGTTTATTAAAGACTTATTTTTTTCTCAAATTTTAGTGGTATAACTATTTTACAAACATTGAATGAATCTATAACACGTAAAAATGCTTTTACTGAATTAGCTTTAAAACGTGTACTGGACGCTAATTTAATGTCGAAATTTGCACTAACTGGTTACTTAGGTATGTTTTTAAATCTCTAATATTTTATTTAAAGTCACTTGTTAAGTATATTACTCAATAAACACTAAAAAAGTATCCGTAGGCTTCTTTACAGGAGTTGGACTGATATCTATCATTGACAGACAGTGTGGATATGTTAGTATTTTTGGATCAGCTGAGTATATATGTAATGCTTCATTATGCCCATGTATGTTCAACTGGTGCTTTCAACACTAGAAGGTAGTCTCACCTATTTCAATCTAAACTTATCATAAGCAATGATGGATATTAGCTAGCAGTGGAATCCAGGACACACGTTTCGTCCTATTTGGGACTCGTCAGCTGGATGTACCTGTGTCTCAGAGTTGATGTTCACTCTGGGACTCGAACCCAGTACCATTTGCTTCAAACGTCACCGCGCTATCCACTCATTGCTTACAAAAAGCTTGTGAATTAAGGCAATGTCGAGGCATGTGCACATTATGCACATATGCCAATAACAGACTGATCAATTGCAATCTTAAACCTCAACGGGAAGATACAAGCCAAACAATACCAAGTGAATCTAAACTTATCATAGGTTTACCTAAAGTGAATAGAGTCACACAAACTTCTTCTTTAAATCATACCTGCGTTTTTTTCATGTTTTACCGTGGCCTCAAATAGATTTCTATTAAAATACTTATCAAAGTCTGTAATATCCAATCATTAGTCGTGTTATTTAGTAGCAGCTTTAATTGACTTCTGCTAGTTTTAAGTCAACTGGATTAACTTACATTTCTAAATAAGGTGATGTTTAAGTAAATTTTTTTAATCGATTAAAAAATTAATAAGCTGCAATAGATGTTTACCTATATGGAAAAAAACATTTAGATAGTTGGCTCTGTTTTTACTGGACGTTCAGAATTTTCGTGTACTAAATCGTAATTGCCGTTGATTATTACTTTTTCATCTTAAAATGATTGAGCTAAGTAAAGACAAGGATTATACATAACTTGTAGCAGGTATTATATCAGTAATTTTTTCAGTTCGATATGTCTCTTTAAGTTGATGCATGAAAATATAAGTCGTAATAGTAATTCGCAAACTCATTAATACTGAGGACAACAGTAATCCGAATAAATTGTATATACTGAGCGAGTTCTATGCTAGTGAACATATTTAGAAACTTATGATCATTTCTTCTTAATAATCAGGAATTCTTCACACATACAGTTAAAGTTCTACCAAATCGTTGCTTTTGAAGTTTGTGTCATTACTTTATTTGTTTAAAACATTTATTTAAAGCAACAAATTATTATATGCCTTACACATAAGGAAATGACATTTTTAAGAAATATGGGAAGGAGGAGTATTTTAATTAGAAATAAATAAATGAGGGGTAGGTGAACGAGAATCTTTTGTAATAGGAAAGATGTTTATTTAAAAATATTTCGATCAGTAAGAATACTTTCAGTTATAAGGTTCCTTTAACTTTTATGAACAAAGAGAAAGAGAACTACGGCAGGCTTGGTACTGGCTTCTATTCTATGTAATATCCAATAGCATATCGGACCATTGAGTCGCATCATCTCTTTGACTCCCACAATAAATTAATCACCTACTCATTTTTTCCAACGAGTTCCAGAGTTGACAAGCAATGCACGGTATGAAATTCGTTGGGAATACATTCATAGTACATATCTAAGCAACGGGAATCGTTGTTTCAAGATGATGACACGAACCGAATGATCGTAATTGTGCCAGAATATATGTTATCGAACCTCTGTACCACTGACATCGTGTTTCTATCAGTTGTCAGCAATCCTTTAAAGACAACGATTATCGAACAAAGTCACCGAACATACTCCGCCCAGAGAAATTGGTTCACACAAATATAGAGCAGAATTACTCTCATCAGCTCAGAGTAAGCCCGATCTTTTACAGTCAGAATAATATCACAACGGCTACAAAGAGGACCCTGGTTAGTATAAGATGTTCTGACTCTCATTATGTGTAGACTGATTTCATCACTCAAGACACCACCAACGCCTATACAACTATCCAATTACATGAAACTTCCGATTAATTCTACTGCCTCACCTCAAAGAAAGAGTGCAGCCGCAGGATTCTACTGGTCTTGTAAACGTACTTTGTATTTAGAAGGTGAAAAGTATATACTATGCTGATGGACACTGACTGCCTGACTTGGGTATCATCACCACACAGTAAGATAATCTCCTCCACATACTCAAGGTAGGAACGTTTTCCTTCAGGTAACGGATCCGCACCACTACTACCTTATTCTACTAGAACTGTTTGTGGAAAGTCATCGATGGCAAAGTTGAAGAAATCGGGTAACTCTACCTAACCCCATTACTTGAATGAGACAATGGAGAGGTGATTGTACGCCGTCGCTCTGCTTGTGTACAGAACCCTCAAGATTTTAATGAGATTCTCAAGCATACTTGTTCTCAACAGACAGTCTCAGATGAAGGTCCTTTCCACTGAATCAAAGGCAGCACTGATTTCAAGAAATTCCACTATTGTTAGCTATCAGTAAGTATGGTGGTGCTCCAACCTTGGCGGGGAGCGAAGATGTGATCACTACATCCACAGTCAGAACGAGAATCAGTTAGCTGGTTTGTCATGTGCCTTGAATAATCTGCAAAGTCCGATGAAAGCCAATAGTTTGCACGCAGTCGGAAGTAGATTTACTCCTCACATCAGTTGTTGCGTAAGTGGTGTAGACCCTTTTCAAAGATTGGGAATGACAGTCGCTTCATTCCAGGATGTTGGAATTACGTATGGTCAACCGTCTTCCACCTTGAAGAGCAATAATTCCTGGTGTAGGAGCAGGTTGAAAAAAAGTTTGGAGTAGCGTGGTATCACTTCACAAAGCAACTGGCTGTTGGCATGAGCCATGTCATTAGTTACAGACTATCAGCGGTTATCGTGACTAATGTTGGAAATGTCGCATAAGACAACTTAGAATCAGTCAAATTGGCGCTGATGCACTCATTATTGGTTCTGTAATAGATCTTGAGGTCTGAGATTGTCTTATCTCAAATAACGTTATCTACGGCTAATCTTTTTACCAATGATACTATTACTGTGTCGACAACTTTTGAGTTTACCTTGACAATTTCATGTTATTGTGCCAAAATGATTTGTCAGATTCAACCAACAGGAGTGTATACTTGTTTCTAGGTTATTCATGCTAACTGACTGACCATCAACCATACATAATATTTAAATTATTCTTATTCAGTTCATTATAATATGAGCTTTATCATTTTTAAGAAATTGGTCTAATGGAGAAAATATTATTAAATTAAATTAGCATGGGATATTTTGAGGTGATAATGTTCTACTTCTTATTTCAAACAGATTTTGTTGATCATATACCAGATTTATTTTATGATCCTGGTCAAATAACTAATCCATCTCAATTTTTAACATTGGATGAATATAATGAACAATCTGTGAATGACCGTCGACCAATATTTTTAATAAATTTACAAAAATGGTCAGAATCTGGAAGTTAGATTTTTTGTTTAAATTTTTTTTTCACACATTCATTCGTATTTTCAGTAATCTAATCTCATACTCAATAACAACTTAGTTTGATTCGATTTTTATCCTATTTATTCACAAGAACTTTTCACAACTTAGTAAATACTTTTATTCTCCCAATATTTTTATTATGAATTGTAACTATTTTAGGCATATGTTTTCAGCCCAAATCTTAGGTACAATATGCTGACAAGTTTGTACTAAGATTTAGATGGTGGTTGGAGGTAGTCAACAGGAAACCCTGGACCCGGGTTTCGTGCTACTTGGCACTCGTCAGCAAGGTGTACCTGTAATCTTGAGGGAACTGATGCCCCCTGGCGGATTCGATCTCGTGTCACCCAGCTTCACAATCAGAGACGTTACCACTGAGCTATCCAAGCCGTGACTAACCCCCTGTAGGACTGAGATGTAATCACAATTGATTGATCACTGGGTGGTGATCAATGTCATGCTTGTCTAGTCCTTATTAGTGCAGATCGAATGCTATCGATCATGTTGCAATGTGGCCAACAGTCTAGGTGACTGGACACTGCGGGCACTATGTATTGAGATTTAGATGGTGGTTGGAGGTAGTCAACAGGAAACCCTGGACCCGGGTTTCGTGCTACTTGGCACTCGTCAGCAAGGTGTACCTGTAATCACGGCTCGGATAGCTCAGTGGTAACGTCTCTGACTGTGAAGCTGGGTGACACGAGATCGAATCCGCCAGGGGGCATCAGTTCCCTCAAGATTACAGGTACACCTTGCTGACGAGTGCCAAGTAGCACGAAACCCGGGTCCAGGGTTTCCTGTTGACTACCTCCAACCACCATCTAAATCTCAATACATAGTGCCCGCAGTGTCCAGTCACCTAGACTGTTGGCCACATTGCAACATGATCGATAGCATTCGATCTGCACTAATAAGGACTAGACAAGCATGACATTGATCACCACCCAGTGATCAATCAATTGTGAAGTTTGTACTAAATTAACTTCGAATATTGCATGGTATGAATTTTTTAAAAATTCTATTCATAAAAGAAGAATCCGTTCTGTGGACCAATGACAACTTATTATGCTAATGATTTTTTTTTTAGTTTTATAACTAACCATTATAGAAAATTGCAAAACACTGTGACACTGATTAACAGGGTGAATCTGCAACTTTCAAAATAACATGCTCTCGTAGGACATTGATTTAATATTACTCAGTTATATGGTTATAGACACAACACTAATCTATTGGAATCACACTTTCATACTATGAAGTGAGAAATCTGGACTCAGCGATACTTCTTATTTCTGTCTCAGTTAAAGATACTGATGATTATGGTTACATCAGTTTTAATTTACAAACTGTTGTTTGTAGTCATAGAAAAGGAATATTGATATAAAAGTAGCCCAAAAGTCAAAACTAAATCCAATTCAAATTTACATATGAACATAATAAAGCAGAAATACTGGAAATTTTGTTTCTTTTAGATTTAATTCTGGTAAGATAAATTTTTTTTGATAAACTTTCCTAACTAATTGTTTCGTAGGTCATTTCGACAATGTTCTATTTCGTAAGATAATAAGATAAATATTAGAGTCACTACCAAGTTTTGGATAATCACTTCTCTTATTGTAGAGTAAAATAAATGCCTATTAACTACTTCTAACTACTTACTCTCTCATTTTTAATAAGACGGAAGTGTCATTTAATAAAACCTTTTTCTGAATAAGATTTTATCATTAGAATTGGTAAAACTATGTGTTTTTTGTCTTTAATCTCTAATAATAGTGATATTGTTTCATCGTCAGATTATTTACAATCACAAGATTCGAATGATGCTAAAACTGATGATTTGAAACAAGATGATTTAAATTATTTCAATGAAATGAAATATCCTTTTGATTCTACATTACATGATTGGTTAAATATTGCAATTAAACAAATTACGTCAATAAGTGAATTAAAAGAGCAAATAAAATCTTTAGGAGAGTAGGTTTAATTAAAAGTTGTTTATTCAATATTTTGTAAATTTGTTTTTTGTAAAGTAATCCATCTAGTAGTGAAATTTTGGATAAGTGTTTCGTTTTGTTTTAACATAATTAATAGCGTATATCTTTTTCACATTGAGATTTGGCTAATAGCCATGAATTCCGATCATAACTATCATTAAAATTAATCTCATAAATCATCTTTTTTAAGTAGAGATTCAGTAGCTTATGTTCTGCTATCTACCGCATTTATAACAATATGATTGTAATATTTGTTATTGTTTTACGCATCTATGAAATTCACGATATCTCTTACGTTAATTGTATTCTGCATTGTTTTCAAATGATTTATGAATCACTTCTTATGTAACTTACTCTCAGGCAAATTTCACAATTTCGTCGACCTAATAGTAGTTTTAAAAGTAGTTTGATTCAATTTTAACGATAACAATTAAGGAGTTATGAAATAACAATAATCATTTTTCAGCTGTTTCCTTATATTCTAAGAATATTCGACAAAAAATAATAGTTGGGACAAAATTGCTGATCCAATAACTGTAAAATCTATTCTGCAACAACTCATAATGAGTCTCATCCAACATAAAGTACAAATCATAACGATCATCATCAACAGAAATTTGTCTTATTTTTAAAAGCTCCATATGTTTAAAAAACCATTCCTTATTGTATAAAATTATTTCTCTTATTTGTATGTTTTACATCCCCAAGATTTGTTGCTTCTTGTTATGGAGGATCAATCAACAAAGATGAACAATTCACTCTAAGAAATGAATTATCTCTGGCACAGTTACGATGTCAATTGAATTCTAACTTAATACCAATAGGTTTAATTAAACAAGGATCATTTCTACAACGTGCATTAGTTTTTAAAGTAAGTAGTCTACTTCAAGTGTTCAATTTGCATCTAGATTTCTTTGACGCTACAATTCACTCATGGTTTAGAGTGAATCCGACTTTTAGTACGTATTTATATCAATAACCACAACATAAATTGAAGTCTTAACCAAAGTTACGCCTAGGTAATCAATTGATGATAAATTTTGTTACATATAGTATTAGATTCAACTTCACCTTTAAACCATGAGTGCAATGTTGATTTACTTAAACCTCTGGATACAGGTAACCAAAATATGCATTACCCTTATTACCAAGTAACTTGTGCGCGTCGATAAAATCAACTAGAAAGATATCCGAAGCTTGTAATCATGATATTAAGTCAGTAAACTGTAACAATAAAAATAGTAAACAAAAAAGATGTGTCATAATTATTTTGTGATAGATCCGATTTGCAAAATAGTATGAGAATTGAGTCTCGAAGCTTATCAACAACTCCTTATCAATAAGATTATCTATTATGATATTTACTATAATTATCAATTAGTGAATTATCAGTCACATAAATCAATTACATTTGCTTTCTTTATCTTAAAAAAATTATGTATTTATTACAATTAAATTGGTAAGTATATATTGAGATTACAGTTATTGTTTTCATTAATAAATGACCTTGACAGAGAAATGTGGGAATCCTAGAATGTTCTGAAGAAATAGTCCTTAAATAGACGTCCATTAAAAATTGTAGAGCACTGAATTGTTAGCTATCTGGTCAGTCCGTATTGTAAACTACCTTCATAATGAATGATCTCTACACAACTCTTACGCTATCTTTTATTTCTTTCTCCCCAAATAAATTCAGTTACTTGCTGATCGAATTGGATTACCAACTAATTTAATACGTGGAACATATGGACGTTCATTTAATGAAGTCCTGATAGAACCAGAAAATTCAGTAGGTTAAATTTTAAATGTTTTCTATGAAAGAAGCATTGTGAATTAGCGGAATTATACGAAAAATTCACAGTTTACTATGAATACAAAAAGTTTATATCACTTTATGATTCTTAATATTTAGTCATAGATATCTGATTAACAACCTAAATGAATCGGTCACTGTCCCAAGCTGTTTATCCACTTAATTACACAAACTTTCATGACAAAGGAATTCGCAATATAATATTTAGTTACGATTCAGTGATCGATTACCTTATTGACTTTTATTAATCGTGTTCCTCGAAGCATGAGCAATTAGTTCACAGGTTAGGTTGCTTTCAAAAACAGTCCACGTTCTAGAATTAAAAAAAGGATATTAATTTTTTTTTGAGCTGACAGAAATATCTTTTTCATACATCAAATTAGTAATTAGTAACGTGATTTCTGATTTACACTAACTGTTTGTTTATATTTATCGGTAATAATAACAATAAACACAAGCTAAAATCTAATTGATTATTAATCCAGTTACACGTTGTGTCAATTGGCAAACTATTTCAAAATCTCACACCACACTTTTATGACCAGTTTGTGTTTTCCAGTATTAAACTTTAGCGATTGTTATCAGTAATTGAATTTCACTTAAAGTGTTTTTGTAGACAGTTATTATGGAAGTAAACTTTTCAGATAATCCAAATTTAACTAGCTTAATCAGACAATGAAATGGTTAAATTAATTTTCAACTTACCTATAAGTTGGCCACTCAACTATATTATTTCTGATAACCAAGTTTCTGTTTGGAATTATTCAGTGAACAGTGAATATCTTTCTGTTAAGTACTGATGAAAAAATATGAGTACGTAGACTGTTCTTATACACATTACAAGGCATATGAGCTATCACAATATTTGACTATTTTCGAATCAAAATTAGAGATAAAAAAGACCAGTCAGGATGGGCAAAATCAAGCTGAACTGTATGGTTTGAAAATCACAAACAGTAAATGATGAAAAATCTTCTGTGAGGTTAAGGAAAATCTTCATCCTAAAAGATGTTACGTGTGAAGTTTTTAGAAAATTTAATTCACTGTCTCAATCTTTAAATTTTAATTGATTATCCTCTGACTTGTTGGCTAACTGTTTTTTACCATTTTTTCCATTATCAACTGCTTGAATGACTAATTTCAAAAACCTTTGTTGCTTTTTTGTAGAAATCTCAAACGTATAGAGATTTATATGTTGTGGATTTAATGTTTGAACCCGGAAAGTTATTAAAATCGTCTACAAGTGAAGCATTAGAGTACACTAGTATAGCCTGCTAATAATAATAATAGAATTTACCTTCCTTCAGAACTTGTGTATTTTTTCGTGTAAATTAACTTTAACTACTCCAGATTCTTCATCATTCAGCAAAGTCTTTTATTAGTGAATAAATTTAATTACAAAACATACAGTTTTCTCTTCTCTATGCATAAAGCAGTTTTGTACTGATTTGGTAATGTAATCATAGCTCTCAATGTATATTAAACAGAAGTAGCTGAGAGAACAGTTATGATCTGTTTGTAATTTTTTATTTTATTTATTTGAACACATAAATATTGGTACGAGGGGGCACCATATATATATATGCGCCTCCAAATGCCCTGATACGGCCGACAGTGGGGAGAGTTCGCTCTCCCTCTCCAAATGCTCTCACATGACCACGCGTATATAGCCTCTACCAGGGAAGTCCTACTCATCGCCTCCTCGTGGCTGGGGTGTTGTTTACGAAATTGAGAGGACAAAAAGCGAATATCCGGCGCTTTACCGGGTTGGTGGATATGGAGGATCCAACAAGGGGAGTTGGGAAACCCTGATTTCGAACCAATGGTGCATATAGGCTCCAGTATCCTGAAGGAACAAATGGCGTATGAACCAATTATTGGTCACCGGCTACTATGGGACTGCATCTTCTCACGATGCTTCACTGCCTTGTGGGTCAGACCTTTAGATCAAAGGGTAGGGGTGTGGCCCCCTAAGAAAACCACCTGCTTCAGTCTGGGCACCTGAACAGTATCACAACCCACACACAAATAAAATGAAAATGACGATATTTACTGAAAATTCTATTCACGCTTCGATTAACGGCCAAACAATCTATATTATTATCATTTACCACGTCACTTATTCACTCTCTTTTTTATTTTTACCCTGTTGGTAAGGTAATAAACTAAATTAATTGACTTAATCAAACTAGTTATAAGCACTGGAAGGTTTTTTGGTCAGTTATCGTGGGCATTTATCTCCTTAAAAAATATCATTCGCTGCCTCCTGAGTGGTTTCAAACAATATTTCTCTTTGGATCGCCAATCGATGAAAACTATCTTTGAAATGAACAAATATCCACGTACGATGAATTAGGAAATTAAGCACTAGTGACAGCTTTTTAGAAGTTTCAGTACACAATTCTCATCACTTTGCTCTAAGTCGTTTCAACTGAAGTACTTTCAAACCACTAGACAAATTGTTGTGAACCAGTAATTCTAGTTAAAATATAAGTATCTTGAGAAAGAAAAGCGATGACTATCTTCAATCGACAATTTACTTAAGTTTTAAGCAGTTTGCCTAGGTTATCATTTTCGGAATATGATCTATCCAAAATGTTAAAAGATGGCGGAACTACAAAAAGTAAGTAAAAGCATTTATCCGGGGACAGCAAGAAACATTGGGCGAAACTATTGCTATCCGAAGTACATTTGCCAGGTCAAACAGACCAGCATTTAGTGCTTACATCGTTTGGAGTCATTTACCGTCCTTATAAACGCGTAACCAACCACAAAGATAAAATCGAAGATCTCTCGCCCAGCCGCCTCAGTCTCTCAGTAGACCATTCAAGCCAAATTATGCTGGTCCAACAGAAACTTCAGCAATCAGATTAGACAATCTCTACCTCTACGTTACTAAAATGAATGTAATAATTAAGAAGATAAAGGAGCCTGAGATCATTTACATCTTTGGTCGGCATAAAAATAGGAAACGCTTATCATGCAGACCAAACGCGTATAGGAGCAAATCCGTACCTCAGCACCAAAGTCCAGTATCCTCAAGAAGTTTATGATTTCAAGGAACTTATATTTCACTGAAAATATCATCAAGAAGTATGTAGTGTCAGTCATTATGTTAAGCCCATATACTTTATTCTAGCTTTCAGACAGCCTAATCTATTCACTCTACCTAAGTCACATTCTGACCTTGTTAATTATTCGCTTATCAATCTTTACTGTTTTTATATGAGCGCGTAGGTGTGTGTACACTCCTTATCCCAATATTCATCACATGTCTGTAACTTACTTTTGTGTAACTATAAATATTGATTAATGCTTGGTTAAATGGAAGTTGGCTTACCAGCCAGCTCGACTCTGCGTCGTTTCTCTTCTCTCTATTCTATTCGTTTTATATACGAAATATATGTATTCAAAAGTTCATTCTCGTTATTTGACTTATTTAATTCTGTTACTGACTAACGCGATTTAAGTAGATGATTATATACGAGGATAGGCGATAAAAAACATTCATACGCTCTAATTGGAGTCAGAACTCGGGCCACTAAAGTGGAGAGCCCTTTCGGCGACATCGTCTGATCTAAATGATGACAAAATTCAAGGGCCTCACAAGTATATCTCGCTAAACAAAGCAAAAGATGTTTATATTTATAGGCTATGAATTAACTTCCTTGTCATTAAACTTGAATATAACAATCCTATTTAAAAACCCAGTAAAAGTACAATTTCCAGAATTTTCATTCATTATTCCGTTCATTTAGTTGTGAACTGCTATATAGAGGTGTGTGATTTGAATTTGAGAATAAAATTCAGTCATATGAAGAAATTTACATAAATCTTACATGGATAAGTGTGGTGTTTGAATGAACTAATGATACCTTTGTACTTGTTGAATGCTTGATTTCGAATTCCAGATACAGTACATTCGTTCGTCCTTATCTCGTACTTCTTGATTCAGTTGCTATATTTCTGGGATTCTTAGTTCGTACTATGATTCAAATACTCCTAATTATCACAGACCATATCTGGTACAATAAAATGAGAAATCTGATACGATGACTGATTAGAAACTGTTGTCTAACAAGGATTCTGGGTTTCATTTAACTCTGGTCTGCTATGTGACTCTATACCGCTTTTCGAAGTCGTGAATAACGATAAATGATCGTTAGAAACACCCAAATTAATAGGATCACAACTACAAATTTTAATATTAGTTGCAGCGGAATGAACTGTAGTATGACAAACTGACTGAATATGTCCAATCTCACCACATTTAAAACATTTAGCATTACGAAATGCACATGAATTACGTGAATGAAATTTGCCACAGGATAAACATCAAACATGATCTCACCTTCGTGAACTGTATCTCATATCCTCAATGCATTATCAGCATAACGTTGAGTACGCATTGGATTAGAATAACATAGTAAAGTAGTGGAATTTTTGATGTCCTGATGAATAATTTTATGAAATTTCCCTCATTTACCGCATTTCAAAATTTATATACTTAACATAGTCTAGCAGTAGTTCCTTGAGAGTTGCCTAAGGAAGAGAAATGGGCTTTTCTGATAAAGCCAGAGTTCTTAATAAGCTGTATGGTTCTTTTCCGTTGAATGTAAGGAAACGTGCCACAATATTAACATCCTCAACATCTTCCTTGGTCATAGCCCAGATTTCGAACCTTTCCAAGTAATCCACAAAAGCGTCAAAATCTGAATGTATATCCAACAATTCCATGACAGGCTCCATCGCGACGCCAATGTGATAATTAGGAGTATTTGAATTATAGTATGAACTAAGAATCCCAGAAATAACGTAATCGGATCAAGAAGTACAAGATAAGGACGAACGAATGTACTGTATCTGGAATTCGAAATCAAGCATTCAACAAGTACAAAGGTATCATTAGTTCATTCAAACACCACACTTATCCATATAAGATATACGTTAATTTTTTAATAATATAATTCAAATACTCCTTATTATCTATACACGTTCAAATTAGAAGTTAGCAGAGTAGTAGTTCGAATACATAATTGAGAAGTCATAAATATATCTAGAAACATTTGGTTTTAGCTGGGTAGTAGCTGCAAAGTTTCTTCGCACGATGTATCTACTCGTGATTTCGTGCAAATGCGTGACTCAGTGGATTTAGCTAGGGTATGTCCAGTAAATCGGGCGGTCTTCATTATCAGAAACATACAGAACTGTTTAATTTGAGGATTTATTTACCGGCACAATAAGAATACAAACTGTCAAGAATATCAGTTAGTCAACCTGTCTCAAGCATTACTAGATTAATCTAATAGCAGAATATGATAGATAGATAGATAAATAAATAAATTGACAGGCAAACGAAGTAATATTGAAAAGGTTCGGGTATAAAGTATTCATATTATCCATGAGACTGAACTAAAGTTAACTAATAGAATTGAATTTATGCATTTGACAGCCTCACGATTAGTGGTTACTCGTTCAAAAAATTGGGGGAAGCCTCAAGGCTCTCCGAGCAAATAGAAGAGCTCAAAATGACAGTGCAACTGGACACTGGAGAAATGTGTAGATACGAACATGATATCAATAGTATAGGGGAATTTGTCGATCCACACCGCATAGTGCAAACGTGTTATATTGTCTTACACTACTGTCTTCTTACCTTTTTGGAATTTTTCATGAAGCATAATGCGCTGATGTGCTGCAACTAAACTCACACCTGGAGAAACATGAAATTTTTCCATTTCAATTTATGTTTCATGTGCATATATTCGAACGCAGGTAAGAAGAATACATACATATATATATATATATATATATATATATATATATATATATATATGTTTTAAGTGTATAACTGTTAGGTAACAAGAATATATATATGGTTATATTCATTCCTTCACAAACTTTTGTTTGACCTATTGAATACTATTATACAATTTATTATTCTTAAGTTATTCCCAATTCCTTAGTTACAGCCTCTCACAATCACAGCCATTTTTCGACCTGTATCTGTATGATGGTTATGTTCTGTTTTATGGTATGATGCGGTCTGATTTGCTTGTATATAAACTGCGTATGTCCGAAATAGATGATACATGCAGTTGAAGCTGAGATTGGGTTCTGGACTAAAACAGAAAAATTTATGCGAGAACTGCCAATAAGGACTCGGAGTTGACTCTAGGTTGTATGTACTGACTAACGCGTCACTGGTTTGGCACGGCGCCATGGTCATGTGAGTTGGTGTTCCATTAGTGATTGAGCCATGGGATATTTAATATGGACGAAAGTTATAATCAACAAGTAATGGTTGAACGAACATACAATCACTTTCCTTAGGTGTTTTTTCGAAATATGAAAAGCGCAACAGAAAACCTTCATGTGGTATGCTTTTAACCACTCGGTGC